AGCAAGAGCCGGCCTGATTTCCAGTGCCAGCTGCCAACCTCAGGAAGAGATTAAGTCTTTCCACACCTAAAGCCTAACCTGTACATGCACCTCTTGAATTGCCGTTTGCTACGTGACTCTCAGTGGTGTGCCCGGCCTCTCAGACAGCTTCAATGGAGGGAAGCACACGAGACACTCAGGAGGTGCCTACAGGTGGAACTGAAAAGAAACATTTTCAGGTACTGATGGGGTACACAAAGCCTAACAGGCACAGGGGCACTCCAAGAGCTGGTAGGAAAGGAGGAAGGCAGCGCCCATCCTACTGGGATTGTTTGGCTCTTTCTTATCTGTGCACAACCCTCTAGGCCCCACACCGAGGATGCTCATCACACAGAGCTGGAGGCAGCACTATGAGAAAGCAGATGTATATAGAAATGTAAATAAATGCAGTTATCCCCCCAAAAAAATTAGATTCAAGTGAAGACAGCTTAGAAATGGTGAAGACCCTTGAGGTTAGTTCTGCAATCTGTATTTGCACTTCCTCTACTTTTTTCTTTTTTTTTTTTTTTTTTTTTTTTTTTTTTATTATTCCTTGGATTTAATTAGCTGCAGTGTACCCTAGAAGGTCTCAGAAATTCCTGACATACTCTGGACTCTTTCCAGTCATTACAGGAGCCTTCATCTGCCTTCATTATGAATTGATCTGAATATGGTTGTGAATGTAAACAGCATTGTAACTGCACCCTGAGTCTACAGCTAGACAGAAGAAAATTCTCCCTTTTACAAACTGCTGGCTTATTCCAAAGAAACATGCATATTTCCTCTATTGAAGACACTCTAAGTTCATGTGTGGTTTTGTCCCCTAATATTAAGCACACATGTATACAGTTATATTGTTATATTCTGTAATGCACTACATTTGGCCTTTTGCCCACAGCAGAACAGAATGGGCCATTTGTAATTAGAAAAGGCATCCTCTGTTTGACTCTATCTTATCTCTGTTCTCTGTTCTGTCTCCTGCTTGGAAAAACAGACATCACAGTGGTTGGTCAAAGCAACATTTTTTTCCACTGGAACATGACCAAACCCATACTGAAATTGCAGAAGCAATTAAACGCCTCTGATTTACAGATTAATAAGGGAACCCTGTCTCCTGACTAGAGAGGGTCAGCAAAAACAAGCATCAGAGAAGGGAAAATGTTTGCACAGAAAACGTATGGGAATTGTAAACGGCCAAATGCTGGGAACCCCCTATGATTATCTGGTGCTTATGACCGAACCCCACAACTGTGTTGCTCCTATTGAGAAGTAACATATCAAAAGACCAAACAGCCTCTGCCTCTTTGCTCACAATCAATTCAGCGTTACCAGAAGCACTTTATAAACTAAGTTATAAAATTAGCACAGAGCCTTTAACAGGCTCTCAGTAAAACCGTCTTCATTCGTATAATCCAATCTGACATTCACCGTGATACCTTGAGGACAATAAAATTGACAAAATAGAATTTCTTAGCCTAAATTGTAGCGTAAAAGCTTTAATGGGCTCCATGGAGAAGGGCCAACTGTGGACCCAGCCGCAAAGCTCCTGCACGCCTGGCTAATACCTGACCTATCTGCGAATCGCCGGGGGAAACATAGCCCCACCACCACGCCACTGCAGAAGACAAAGTGGAGCCAGAATAAATGGATGGAGCAAGTTCCCAGGCTGGATCAGTCTTTTCTGGGGAGAAGGTGCATTTTGATGTCAACATGAGGAGCTGTTGCAAAAAGCAGCTTCCAGTGGGAAGAAAATCAGTGCTTCTCCATCAGCCGGGAGGCGCTTTAGTTTTAAGGCCCAGGGGACAGCAGAGGTCTTCTCCAGGAGGACTTCCAGCACAGATTCCTCTCTCCAGGGAGATCTAGCAGAAGGCAAAGGCAGGAAATACCATAGAAGCCTTCCCATTTTCTTTATTTCTGGCCTAATTTTCATTTCCTAACACAATAACTGCAGTTCTGCTGCATTGTCCATTGTGCCCAGGCAAGCACAGGTAATTTACTGCTTGGTTTAACTTGGTAAATAAGTGCTGAGCCACCAGGACAAGAGGCACTTAATAAATCCACAGAAGAAATTAAAATAATTCATAATGAGGATGCGAAGGCAGCCAAAAAAGAGTTACGGTTACTTGTGTGAACACCGCTGCTCTGCAGCGCTGGTCTCGCCGGCATCCCACTGAGTCAAGTATTTCTCTTGCTGTCTCCCCACCACCCCAACCTCGCCCCTGCCTTACCCATCACCTCCTCCCATGGGAAGCACCCCTGCCATATCCCAGATATTGCAGTGACCCAAACACAGCAGTTTTCAACCCCATGCTGGAGAAGGCAGACACACTGAGAGCGTCCCCACCACCTTGCCGTGCTCGCCCTCCCACTGCTCCCCCTCGCAGGCGCCCCACTGCGATGATGAAGATTTGGCTCAGAGAAGTTATTTATAATCTGTGTCCCATGTAGAGGTTAAAAGCCCGCAGCATAAAAGCCCGGCATCGGGGCTTTGCATGGCGTCCCCCTTCCCAGGGGCTGGGGGCTGCCTGAGCCAGGCTGTCCCAGCCCATCCCTGCAGAACTGCCCGCCTGCCAAGCGGCACAGGGATGAGCCTCCCCGGCTCCCGCACCACCCCAGCGCTCGCTGTGCCCCCACAATGAAATCCCCATTTCCAGCATCGGCAGGCAGACAGCACCTGCCCACAGGCATTTTATCAGCAGCAAAAGGAATCGGGAAGTTTTTGTAGGAGGAGGGTATAAAGCTCTGAACTGTGTAGGGCAGCAAAGCCTTCAATTATTAAAACTGGCATCCCCGGAGCCTGCGGCTGGTAGCAGCCGCCTTGATGCAAAGTAGCGATGCTCCCTGCGAGGGAGGCATGCTCCCCCACCTGCCTCCCAAACCCCAAGCAGCTTGCTGAGCCTCCTCGGGCCCTGCCAAAGACGGTGGGGACTTTTATCCACCACCACCAGATAACACAAAACACCATTTAGCTGACTGTAGCCCACAGAGACACTGCTGGGATTTAGACCCAAGAGGTCCTGGTTCCCCAATTCACGCGGAGACCAACCACTTGAGCAGGGCCGTGTCTCTGCAGGCACCTTCTGCACAAGAAGATGATCCTGGTCCGCTTCTAGATAATCCCAAATTCTGCCTGGACACTGATAAAGCCATTATTTGACAGAGACTGCATGCGAGCAAAGCGTACCAAATTGTAAATGCCAATAACGGTTTATCACTGGATCTCTCCCCCACCAAAAAAGAAAGGTCAAGCACAAAAAGTCATTAATGAATGCAAGGGGAGATCTGCATTTTCGGTGTCACACAGAAAATTTAGATTTGTAAGCAAGCCTGATTGAAGTAAGCGTTCCTTTAAATCCGGGGCTTAGGTTAAGAATAATTCCTAGGAAAAAAATAGAGAATATCAGGGAGAACGAGCATTTTTCGCTATTCGTAATTTCACATTTAAGAGGAATGGATTTATATGGATGGATGGCTAGATGGATGGATGGGTGGATAGATAGCTATAGACAGACATGTATTATTTATTATCTTATTATGTTAGAATATATACAACTACTTTTGAAACATGACGGTCATTGTTACAACCACGAGCTTGTTTGGATGGCTATTAAATATGAAACAAACAGCCTTTTTTTACCAAATACAGCTCACCGTTTGCACCCGAACCAAAAGTGACATAAGAAAATGTCTTTTTGGGCAAACTTAGCTTTCTTTGAAGTGTCTGTAACTCTGAATCCAAACCCCTAGTCTTAATTGGTTAGGTGCCTGATTTTTCTTTCTTCTAAGGATTATGTAAAAATTCAGTACAAAGGAATCAGGTCTGCAGTGCGGTCATTATAAACTTAAGCTAGTCAGGCAACAGAATAAGAAAGCCATCTTGGGACTTAACAACTTCAGCTGAATGCTTTATATTTGCCTTTTTTTTTTGTGATTCAGGTTAATAAATGAGACAGCTGTGTCAGATTTCTGAAAAGTATTGTTTTGGTAACTGCAACCCGATTAAAACATAAAATTCCCAGGGCTGAAATTTTACATGTGAGCTTTTCTTTTTCTGTACTGAAACTCATCTTTGTAGGTAATTTAGCATTCTTGCAGCTCAAGAGATGCATTATCTAAAAAAAAAAATGAATGTTTATTAAAGATTTATCGATCTGCACTCTACATAAAAATAGAGAAGCCCTTTCAACCACTGTTAAATGGTAGGTTAGTGAGTCTCCGAGCCAGTAACACATTTTCCGACCGTTTTCTCTTGGGTAGATTTGCAAGTAAGAAAAGAAGTTTACCAACAGAGATGAACTACACGCAGCTTTACAAACCAGGGAGCCTGATCTTGTAAATGTAGCTGATGCGAGCAGTCATGTTGATTTGAGTCGGAAGAATAAAATGAAAACAGATTATTCCCCTGTGCAAGGGCTGGAAAGAATAAACCAAAGGCTAAGAAATGGGTCGCTCAAGTGCACAGCCAGGGGATGTCGTGGGCCAGAACCGCTGCTGAGAGTCCTGTATGTTTTCCCGGCTCCATGAGCACGGGTGGCCGCACTCCCCTGCTCCTGGATGGCAAAGGGAGGTGGGATGATCGGCGGAGCTCCCACGAGCAGGGCCAGGGGTTAAACTCTGCAGAGTTACACCACCAGCAAGCCCCAGTGATGCAGAAGGAGTTATTCTGCGTTTCCGATGCTGTGACAGCAGGGAGAGCCCAGACATCTCACCCACACCGTGTCCGGCACACTGCATGGCCACCACCCACCCCACAATTTGTCCGGTGTTTGGAGGCAGGCATTTGGATACTGCAGTAGATGACAGACATCTGGCTCCCCAGAAACACCTCCGAGGAGGAGAATCTATTTTTTGCTTCTGCTTTGATTGTACTCTGCTAATTTACTGCTTCCAGATCTACCAGATATGGAGGACAGTTTGAGAGTTTACATTATTGTATAAAATTGATAGCCGACCAAGAGCAAAAGCAGAGTGTTCTTACGTACCCACGAGGGCATCTGGGAACAAAATGGGAACTTTGGCCCTTCCAGCTCGAAGATGTACGGCTGTCTTCAGCGACACATCCTCGATGTCGGTGAGGGCTCTACATGCAAAGAGGAAGGGCAGCTCACCCACCCAACGCTGCACAGGCACAGAGGACGGCATCACGCAACACAGAGCAGAGTTAAAAGTGTGTTGGAAAGTTTGGCACTCGGGCATTTCGAGGGGCACAGCAGAAGCTTCATTTCCAAAAGCATTCCCAAGAACAGGAGGTCATCTCTCCCAGCTACGTCTGCCATCAGGTTGTGGACGGCTGCGATTTGGGCACTACCTGTCTTACCATCTCCTCCTCTGACAAGCCTGGGCTGGATTGGTCTCCAGGGCATCACACCTTGCTTTAGCACACAACTTGTATTAGTCCAGAGGAAAACCGAATTTTAACAATATTGTTGCTCCCCATTGGCAGCCCTGACAAGTTCCTGACATGCAGCATGTCCCACCGTTAGCTTAAAGGTTGTCTGCATCAATGCTGTCGAACCCAGGTGACCAAGTCAGTTCCAGCCACAGCAAAGCACGCAGGGCTGGTCGGGCACGGGTTGCAGAGAGCATTTCTGCACACGAGCCATGTCAAAGTAGGTTCTGAACTAGAGAGAAAGTGCCTGGCTGCGGACACCCTTTGAACATTTTAACTTAATACTGAACGTCAGAAAGGATAAAATAAGAAGTGTGGAAATTCATGTGCAGCTTACTAATTTAAATCACCTTCCAGATACTCATCCCAAACCAATCCTTTACAGTTTTCCACCTCACCAGCTTTAAAAAAAAAAAAAAAAGAAAAGAAAACCAGAAAGAAATCCTTCTTCTCCAGACATTTAGTGGCACAGCTCCATTTTTCAGTCTTAATGACTTTAAAAAGGCCCTCCCTCAGGGCAGTGTTTAGTCTTAAGGTCCAAGAGCTGCAAAAAAAATGTACATACCCGCTTTAATTTATGGAGTCTAGGTGAAATCCTAGCTGGCCATAGGATGCCAAGATTTTATCTTCCAAAGACTTTCTTTGTCTTTGGGAAGACAGGCAGCTGAGCGTGCGCAGGACCGGCCCATAACACGGATTCACCTTTCTCTGCCTGTTGAAAGCAGGCGGAGAGGTCTGTGTCTTTCCAAAGCAGCTACAGGGAAGCCTGTAATTGGAGCAGCCTTAACATTTACACTTACAAAACGTTGCATCTCCTTATTATGGGGTAATATTTTATAATTAAGCTCTCGCTGATGTTAAGAGACCTTGAATGCCGCGGATAGTCACAAGCTTATTATATTAGTGTCTGAAAGCACACTGTAAAGGAACTTATTTCCCCATTAGTGTCAGAAGTAACAATGTGAAAATAGGCACTTACACTCACTTGAAGCAGTGAGTGGTTTTTATATATATGTGAGTACGTACATGTATATGTATCTATGTATAAATACATACATAGAACCTCCCCCTACTTTTGACTACTGGATTTTATAATGACGCACAGACCACATGGCTCTTCTGCATTAATTCCATTAAAAGAAGCCCAAAATGGGATATTGCTTCTAGCTCACCTGTGAATCTTTCCTTTAGCTTTTATTTTTTTATTTTTATTTTTATTTTTACCCTATAAGCAAAAAATCCATTTTAAAACAGCTTAAGGATGAAACAAAGAGATCTCACTCCAGCTTATTAGCTATGATGCCATCACTGTCAACTGATATAGCACATCATTCCGCAGCTATTTTATAACTATGGGAAGTGTCTTGAAATACAATTTCTAAGAAAGATACTGTATACCGAAAGAACCAAACTCAGAGATTGTGGCTCCTAGGGTTTCAACATACAACAGTAGCTGAATGCTTCTGTATAGCAAGCTCTGCTGACAGTCTTTACTTTTTGCTATGGAATGGGTCAGACACAAGATCTGGAGCTAAAAATATTTTAAAATGAGGTTCCTAGGTTCCTTACAAGGTTTCCAAATCACGCTGTTGCATAGGCACTTACAAGTGCCTAAATATGAAGTCATTTTTACTCTTGGTGCTGAACTACCCGAAAGCCCAGATCTGTTGAGATCTGGTGTTTTGGCTTGGATCAGTCTCCTACAAAATGCATCTATATGCTTTAGTATCTTTGTGATTGTTCAGACTATTAAAATGTACAAATATATATACTGGACCTTCAAATCGCCTGAACATGCCTGCAGTAGACCAGCTTAAATCCAGAGAGATGGTGAAAAGCAGAGTTCAGTCCTCCATTCTGCTCCTAACACATTGGTCAGGACAACACATTGCAGTTCACGCGGTCTTATCTCCTGCAGAAATAGATCCATCCACAAGTAGGCAAGACATTTGGCAACAGCAGCATGAATTCAGAATGGCCTGAAGCTTTAAATGGATTTCCCTCTTTTTTTAGGTTTAGAATAACCAGCAAAATGCTGCATACATCAGAGGAGCATTGCTTTGGGACCTCATCTTGCATATTTTTAGTGTGAAATATTCTCAAAAGTTTTCCCTACTTCAACTGAAAGCTAAGATGTACCTGTCTGAATGCAAACCTTCCAAATTAATATCATGCAGATGAGAGATGAAGAGCGTTTTCCCAGTACAAGAGTTAATGGGCCCAGTCATAAATCTTGTCTCACGGATTAAACCCAGAGGATCAAATGCAGAGATTTATTACTTCATTTATTACTCCATCCAAGTTAATCACTTTCAGGAAATAGTTCATTCAGTGAAACTAGAATGCTTTTTTATAATCAGGTCATGGTTTCCTCAGACATACTTGTTATTTTTTATGACTATGGTTTTTAACAACATTTATAGTGCTGAGTGGGTTTGCACATACAGCAAACTTACCAATGCTCCATAAAGAACGTGGCTTCAGGTTTGGAGCCTCCCCTTACTTGCATGATTTGTTAGGCTGCATTCCTTCCTGCCTCCAAAATTTCTTTGTCCCAGCTCCAGCACAGTTTCCTTCACCTCCTTCCACCAAAAAGCAGCGAGTTTCCTCTGTTCCCACACCTCCAGCCTCTCCCGAAGTGCAGGTATTGGTGATCCGTGGTTTAGCAATCTTTGCAGGCTAGGGTAAGGCAGTCGGCACAGCAAGCAGTATTATAAATTATAACTGGAGCCTGGGACCTTGCAAATTTTTGGCATGTGGACTGGATAATAGGAAACCTTCCTCCATAGCAAAGGTGTAATTAGCTTTTCTGTCCCAGTTCATTTAGCAGTGGAGTTGAAGAAGGTGGATGTAATCACTGGAGTGCTGCGTAGACACAGTAATGCAGCAGCAACGATAACATCTAATGTAATGCCGCAGGATGCCAAAATGGAAGCAAACTCCACATCCAGAGGAACTCGGCTAAATTGTTTTCCAGGCTCAAAATAAATAAAAACAGAGTGGCATTTTCCTTATCAGGGACCAAAAATTTAATGTGATTAATTCTGCAATTTAGCTGTAGTTTATTTGTGCGCTAGAGATAACAGCAGGGCTGTGGGTAAAAGCCAGCTCGCTCATGCTCCTGACTATTAATAATGCGTGCAGATCTTATTCACTCACTGAAACCAAACCAAACCAAACAAAACAAAAAAAAAAAAAAAAAAGAAACCAATAAAGGAACTCTGCTGTATGGAAAACGCATTTAATGCTTTTGCCCTCTTCTTCCCAGAGAACATCGCTGCAACACTTTTGTTAGCACTGCAGGTAAATCAGATTTATCTTGCTAGTCAGTGCCACTTTTTCCTCCAGTTTCAGAAAAGGATTATCTCGGGTGTGTAAAGCAGCAGAACTGTAGTCCAGAAATATGAGAGTGTAATAGGCATAGCAAACACACACTACCTAGATAGATTTATATAGATTACGTAGAAAGATCCCTTAACAGTTTTTAATTTTTTCCTACTGAGAGCTTGTATTATTCAGTGCCTAGATATGACAGCCAAAAAGGAGCTCCCCTCGTTCTGGGTATTGCACATAGATCTAGAGAGGGAGAGTGCAAGAGCTGGCTAGCAAGAATTGATGCAAGGCTTGCACACTCCCTTCACTTTCCCACCTCCTTGCCTATGTACAGGGCTTTGCCCTCCTGGATTTCTAGGCACGAAGGAGCACCTGTATCCTATGATTCTCACATAGTTCTCATGTGCTTCTTACGTGCAATATCTATGGCCCCACACTGGTGTGTGCCATGGCTTTTCATGGAAATCTTAGGAGGATCAGATGACTGTCACTGGCTCCACAAGACACCTCTCTGAATAACCTTTATTGCCTGATTATCTGCACACAGCAGATAAGCAAAGATCTCTTCCACCTTCTGTGTGCTGCAGATCACACTGGTCCTTGACTTCCCAGGTAAAATTGCAAGCATTTACAGAAATGAGGTTACTACTGATCCCTATCAAAATAAGCAGAGGATGCAAAATAAGAATAAAAAGAAGTGCATTTCAAACCTCTATTACCTCTTTTCTACATCCATGCAGCAAAGCCCAGCTGGGTGCAGAAAAAAACTCTCCTAAGCTGCTGTCTCATCTCTGTATCCTTAGTCCCACCCTGTGGCATTCTTGGATGCTGGATCTCATCCTCCTTATTTCTTTTATCCCAGACCATGGCCCACGTAGGCATAAATAAGTACAGCTCTGCGTAACACCTGACAGCACGGAGCAGCTTCTCATCTCCTACGTTTTGCTGCCCATCACCAGCCTGCCCACTGACCTTGGTGGAACTGTGCGTGCCAGGTTCCCGTCTGCACAGCAAAGGCGAGAGCCTCCGTCGCGTCTCCAGCATCTGCGTGTGCTGGGCAGGGGGCTGCCTGCTGCCATATAAAGCACTCGTGACCACATTCTGTCTGGTCAAACACCACAGCATCAGTCTCTCTACAAGCACATTGCCCTGCATGTGATCAGGGCAGCAGCTACGTTTCCACTTCCCTGGCACTGCCGGCAAGGGGCTTCTGCTTAGCGATGGCCGAGGCTCTCCCACATGCATCAGAGAGAGGTATTTATGAGCTGATATGTGGACTGAGAACCTCAGGAGTATTATGCCATCCCATACTTGTATCTGCTGCGTGAGTTGCGGCCAAGGGTTAAGAATAAATAGGACAACACCCAGCAGTGAAAAGAGGCCATCAGATTAGGCCTGGGAAAATATCCAGGGTATTAGG